GCTTCACTGGCCCAAGTTGGCACCATCATTGCGCTCTTCCCAGGCGAGGCAGATCAGTCGCCGGCTTCTGGACCGCCGCTCACTGTGGCTGCTGGCCACTCACGCTGGCTGCTGGCTACACACGGTAGCCCATGACAACCCACTGCAGCAGGGGCTGCAGACTACGCTGTCGCCGGCGACTCACGGCAGCCCAGCTCCAGGTTGAGCTGTTGTTCAGCATCTTAGCTGTGGAGGGCAGTATCACTGGCCCGCATATGTGGGATCCGAACCGGGGCCCTCTGGCATCCCAAGCCAGTTCTTAACCATCGTGCCACTCGGCCGGCCCTAAAGGTTTTTTTATTGGGAAATTGGGGAAGGGGAACAGTGCTGGGGAATTGGGGAAGAGGAACAGCCAAGTTGTTGTCCTTCAATCTGAGTTGTGGAGGGTGCAGCTAGCTCAGCTCCAAGTCCAGTCGCCATCCAGCTGCCCATTGGCAGCTCGCAGTCGCTCAGCTCATGGTGCCGTGTTCAATCTTAGTTGCAGGCGGGCATAGCCCACCATCCCATGTGGGAGTCAAACTGGAAACCTTATTGTTAGGAGCACGTGCTCTCACCAGGTAAACCATTCTGCCACCTGTTGGCAGCTCAGCTCAGATGCAGCTCAGCTCAGGCGCAGCTCACCGGCCCATGTGGGAATCAAACCGGCGACCCTGTTGCTCAGAGTTCACGCTCTTAACCAACTGAGCCACTCGGCTGGCTTAGCCAGCTGTATCTTAAAACAAGCATGTAATTCCTAATAAAAAATTCAAACTATAAATGTATGTGTATATAAATATTTGCAATAAGTTACTGCTTACGTTTCATTTGAAACTCCATGTATAGTAAACAATGATGTTATGAGAGAGTAGGTGGGTGACGGTATCATTGTACATGCCTGTGGAGAAACAAGGCAACCCATGCCGCCTTCTACTGCCTGTCAGGGACTGGGAGTGGTGTTTTAACACCCATGATCACCTTTGGTCACAGTTCCTGTCCTCCTTTTTAATAGATGAAGATACAGAAACTCAGAATGGTTACGTTACTTGGGTTCAGGATACAAAGTAATGGGCAGAACTGAAATTTCTGTGGCTGCCTTTTCAAGTTTCACTTCTGGTGTAAAAAAAAAATAAAATAAATTAATTTTTGGATATGTTGATTTTTCTGGAAGTTAACACTTTAAATTATTCTTGAATGAACATTTTTATTTCCTTATAAGAAGCACTAAGTTTTTACTGCAGATCCAACTAACTTCTCAAAAGCCTCTTCCCGTAGACACAGAAAAGCTGCCCCAAGTTGCCATGTCCCCTGGCTGCCTGCATGGAGACAATTACCATCCTGCATTGTGAAATTCGGCACTATTTCAGGTAGCCTTTAGGTCCCATGAAACATATATACAGCCTAGAAAGACAGGGAGGGAAAACACGAGAAGGGGCTAGAACCTGGCTACCTGCGAACTACTGGCGAGGGGCTGTTTTGCTTCCTGCTCCTTTAGTGACATCCAGGCTGCCTCCGTCGTCCAGTCACGTGAGTGAGCACTCTTATTCAGCACGGTGACATTTTAAGATGGAGACTATTAACCTGTGAAATCTGTCATTTGATTATTGACTATTCACGTCTGGATTGCCTGTGGTAGGTGTTTAATTTCAGGTTGGCACTAAATATATTTGAATTAGTCAGTGTCTTTTGAAAATGAATGGCTATTTCTATACACTTGCCATTTGCTGGCTATCTGCACCTCCCTCCCCCAGAGATGTTATGCTCACCTTCACTGGAGGGTTTCAGGTGTGACAACCGTAACAGATCTTTGTGAGACCAGCCATTTCTCTGCTTGTACTTTGTAACTGCCAGAGCGAGGGCCATGGCGCTTTTCTCACTGTACCAGTCCGCCACGGCCTTCCGGAGGGCGCGGCCCCACATGCCACATTTCATGCTTTCCTTCAGGTCTTTCTTGAACTGGATGAAAGTAAAGAGATGTGTGGGAATGCGACACACTTCGGCAATGGCTTTAAACGCGGCTTGCTTCGTGCTGATGTCGGAGCACTGGGAACACACGGCCAGTGCGAACAGCAGGGGCTCCTGCTTGGCGGCTCGGCCTTCCTGGCTGAACGACTTGATCTCCTGGATCACTTCGCCTCCTCTGCCATCTTCAATCAATCGAATCAAAGCCTCGGCGTTCTCCAGGCCCAGCCTCTGCTCTTTGATATAATAAGTTCCGCCCTCAGAACCAAAGCAGAGGAAGCGGTGCAGGCGATTCATGTCAGTGACTTGCCACACGTACCCACCCTCGGAATTGGCTACCTGCTTGTCATTCAGCGGGCGCATCTGGTTTACGGAGTCCTCCATTTTCCTGTCTTTCAGGCAACCTGTCAAACAGCAAAATGTCATTAACTAGGTTGATACTGTAAAATTATCAGAGGAAAACATTAATTTGTGCTTATTGAAATCTGCCATGAAATCTTTTTTAACTGAAAGTTTTAGCTCAGCGTCTCTGTTAATTCAGTCTGACGTGAGGCCTAAGCATTGGTACTTATCCCAAGTTCGGGGGTGACAGTCTCAGCCCTCATGCCACGTGACTGGTACAGGCACCAGACACATATCACCATCTAGCCAATGTGACATAAGACATCATTTGGGAATACTTCTGAGGTTTTCTTCCCTCTTAAAAGGATGCTTGGGCTCTTATAAAGACAGTGTTTCCCTTCTTGCTTGAGACATTCATTTGCAAGTGATGCCTGGAGTGGCGGTGGCCATCTCGAGCCATGCGAGAGCCAGTTTAAGACACACTAATTTATTTATTTATTTATTTATTTATTTATTTATTTATTTATTTATTGTTAGTTTCAGGTGTAAGACACACTAATTTATAAGGATGGCAGAAAAGAAAAAAAAATAGAAGGGATCTGGGTCCTTTGATACCATCAAGCTATCTGAAACTGCCTGACTTACAAGTTTCCTTATATACATAAATTCATGCTTATTGTTTAAGCCACTTACACGTTTTCTGTCACCTGTAGTTGAGAGCATCCTAGTATCCAATGCACTGTGCTCATTTATAGTTTGTCATCTGTAACTACCCACACTTTCCTCCTTTCATTATTGCTAAAGTTACTGGAACTGGCTGGCTGGCAACAGTACCCCTTTCCCCCTCCTACCGGAGCAGCCACAATCGTCCACTCTGCATCAGTCCACGGCTGTTCTTCCCACACACAGTGGCTGTTTATCCAGGTGCGTCAAGTCGGCCTGCCTGCACCATTATAATGCACGGGGCTTCTCCCGAGGGCAAACAAAACACACAACCAACAAAAACCTCAATCGCAATGACTGCCTACTGTGTGTAAAGTGTGAAGGAGATTTCTATTCCATTAAAAAGATTAAAGTTTTTCTTCTCGCCCTCAGGGAAATCACATTCTATTTGGTGAGGAAGAAATATGTATATAATATGTACAAAGCAAACTACAATTACATGCTCTAATAGAAAAGAACTGTGAGTGAACAGAGAGAGATAAAATAATGCTGATTCAATAATCCAGGAAGATGCGTGCAAAGAAGATAAGCTGAAAAATTGGTAGATAAAGTTTTTTGGGGGATGGCATTCCAGGAAGGGGTTTCTGAAATCTTGCTGTGTCTTCAGCTTTTAGAAAAGGAACTGGGTATACTGGCTTAGCTGTAAAGAAATGTTGACAGTCCTCTCCGGTGGCCGTTCTCCTTTGGAGAAGGCCGGTAGGCAGCAGCCATGGCGCCCAGACGAAATGGCATGATCCTGAAGCCCCACTTCCACAAAGCCTGGCAGCGGCGTGTGGCCACGTGGTTTAACCAGCCGGTGCGGAAGATCCACAGATGCAAGGCCCGGCAAGCCAAAGCTCGCCGCATCGCCCACACCCTGCGTCCGGACGCATCCGGCCCATAGTGAGATGCCCTACCGTGAGGTACCACACCAAAGTGCGAGCCGGCAGGGGCTTCAGCTTGGAGGAGTTAAGGGTGGCTGGCATCCATAAGAAGGTGGCCCGGACCACTGGGATCTCAGTGGATCCGAGGAGGCGAAACAAGTACACCGAGTCTCTTCAGGCCAATGTGCAGCGCCTTAAGGAGTACCGCTCCAAGCTCATCCTCTTCCCCAGGAAGCCATCAGCCCCCAAGAAGGGAGACAGCTCTGCTGAAGAACTCAAATTGGCTACCCAGCTGTCAGGACCAGTCATGCCCATACGGAATGTCTACAAGAAGGAGAAAGCCAGGGTCATCACAGAGGATNAGCTCTTAACCAACTGAGCCACTCAGCCGGCCCAATTGCTTTACCTGTTTTAAACACACATTACAGTTAAGGCATTAAAATATTACATATTTGGTAACTTAGTTTGTTTCTAAATTCTTTTTACTCTGATAAGCACAGGGATCTCCTGTGCCTAAACGTACTGTTGCTATTATTACAAGATTTCAAGTATGAGTTCTGTCCTCAAAAATTTAGAACTAAAGAATCCTTTGTGTGGAAGTTTAGGAAACATCGACTAATTTTATAGACCAAAAATTCAAAACCCAGAATAACTGCACAAATCAGAAAATTTTCCAGTCAGAACCAGAACTTAGGTCCATACCACCAGGTAGCGTAGCGTCTCAACAGAAAAATAAAGCTGGATCCCTGCATTCGTCTCATAATAGATCAAAGATTTAAAAATAAAAAACTAAACCACAAATATATTAGAAAAAAAACCACTGGTAAATATTTTAATGACTTTAGGTTGAAAAAGGACTTTCTAAAGCCAAGAAAACCAAGAAAGACATAGGTAAGTTTGAGTACATTAAAATTACAAACTTCAGGGTGCCAAAAACAATCCCATTCCCCCACCAAAAAAGAAAAAGAAAAAAAAGGGAAAATGCACACAATATACTATATAATAGTAAATTATTAATTCCTATACTATGTCTCACAAATGCTTAGAATAGTACCCATCCACAGAAGGTGCTTGATAAATACTTGTTGAATGAATGAATGAATGCGGACTATAGTCAATATGATAAAGAACAGTAACTGAATAGATAAGAAGGTGAAGACACAATATAATTCCCCCAAAATAATCAGGAAGCACATAAAAAATGAGCTTTCACCCCCAAATACAAATTCAAATAATAAGATATAATTTTTCACCTATCTTATTGGCAAAGATTAAAACACACTACTAATTGTCAGTGTTCAAATGTGGGGAAACTGGCCACTTTCATAAACTCTTTGTGGATTAACCATTATAGAAATATTCACTGAAGTTTTTTCACTGCAATGTTTTTGTAACAGTATAAAACTGGGAGCTACTTAACTATTATCAGGTAAGAGATTAGCTAAATAAGTTATAGTATATTCATACAATGGTATATATGCAACTATTTCCGAACTGAAAAAAATATCAATGATATGCTTTTAACTGAAATAAAAGGCACATAAATTAAAAACAAACATACAAAAAACATAGTATGTTTTTAGGAAAAATCTGGAGTTATCTTCAATGTTATCACATACTGAGATTTCTTTTGAAGGGCAGGACTACTTTCTGTATTATATTTTTCTGTGTTAGCCAGCTGTATTTCACTTTACTTTTTTTTAAAGTTTTTTTTTTTTAAAGGTGGCTTATTTAATTAGATTTTTATTGGGGAATTGGGGGGATGGGAATAGTGCTGGGGAACTGGGGAAGGGGAACAGACAAGTTGCTGTCCTTTTGTTCTTCAGTCTAGTTGTGGAGGACGTTGCTTCACTGGCCCAAGTTGGCACCATCATT